ACATGTACAGAAGCGCTTGGCAGAGTCGACTCGAGCTTCCTGGAGCCCAAGTCCCATCTGCCCTCTCCTCTGGGCTGGCCCTGGCCACACTAGGGCACGTGCACCACGTTCGCATCCCAAGGGCTCTGGACACATGCTGACCCACAAGCTCTGCTGACCCACAAGCTCTCTGCTGGGGCCCATACGATTCTGATTTCCATTTAGACAGTTTCAATACTCAAAGGCTTAGCACGCAGTTTTCAAGAGGTGCTTATGTCAAGTCTGCTACATTTTCACAAGGCTTTCCCTGACCACCCCACACCCAGCTGAGCTGGGCTTGCCTTCTCGGTGGGCTCCCGGGAGACCCCCTTAGGTAGCTCCACTGCTCGTCCCACACGTGATGAAACGCCTTATTAGACGCAGAAGCACCCTAACACCACGAAGAACAGGAAGCGACAGAGTTCTGTTTCCGGGCACTCGACTCACTCCGCTGGGGGAAGGGGTGGGCTCAATAAATAAAAACAAAACTGCGTTTCTAAATTGTTGCCCTTCATCAGATGAATGGGCAAACAAAATGTGATGTGTGTGCATGTACATAATAGAGCCCATCACTTTACTTATATAAACATGAGTGTACACACAAAATAACAAAATACTATTCGGCATTAAAAAGGAATGGAATTCTGACATGCCACAATAAGGATGAACCTTGAAAAACTCACGTTCAGGGAAATAAGCCAGTCACAAAAGGACAAATACTGGATGGTTACACGTATGTGAGTCAAACTCACTGACACAGAAAGCGGTTGCGGGGGCTGGGGGAGGAGGAACGGGGAATTCATGTTTAATGAGGACAGAATTTCAGTTTGGGAAGATGAAGTTCTGGAGACGGAGGGTGGTTGCACAATGTTGTGAATATATTTAATGCCACCGAATGACACACATGAAAATGGTTAAAATGATGTTGTTATGTATACTTCACCACAATAAAATCATCGTTTTTTAAAACTACTTAAAAGTTGTGAAAAGAGTTATAAAGAAGGGCGAGGAAAGAATCATGGGGGGTGCCGACGAAGTCAGGCCAAGGGGTTCCCGAAGGCCACTCGAAGGAGGTGCTTGGCCTTCTCCACGCTGGACCAGGAGCTCCTGATGGGCACAGGTGGGGCATCCAGATCTGTGCCCCCCAGAAGGATAAATGCTTAAGTCAAGACACATGGCCAGACTCAAACCAGTAAATGGAGTAAGACCCGAGCCCTACTTATCAAAGGGCTTAGCCAGGGCTGGGACACCCAGAACTTTGTAGCCCTTGAAGGGGTCCACCTTGTGCTCAAGGCTGGAGATGAAAGCGACCAGGGCCGAGGAAGAAAACTGTACTGTGCCGAAGGGAAGTGAAGACATAGCCGCACACTCTGATCGTGACCTTCCACTTAGGAAAACAACCAGCAATGGGAACCAAGGTTTACCCGCAAGGATGCTCCTTAAAGTTTGTTCACGAGAAGCGAAAATGAGTAACGACAGTCTAAGAGTCTAACAACAGAGAACAAGTTATATCCTCTATGCGATTATTTTAAAAAAATCACGTTTTCAGTAACTTAGTAATATACACTATAACACTGAGGAACCATAAACTGTCAATAGTGTATATAGTTTTTTTTTCCCCTAATTTTGAAAAAACAAACACATAATCAAAGGAAAGAAATACACCAGCCTTTACTGTGTGCTGCGGTTACAGGTGATTTATATTTTTATTTTCATCTTTATTATTTTCGGGATTCTCCAATTTTTTTTCAATAAAAATGTTACTTTTACGAATGGGGGGAAATGTAATTAAAAGGCCTTGCAAAATACCTGGCAAACGGTAGATGCTCAAGGAGTATGTTCATGACAGTGCATTTAAAAAACAATAAATACTGCTTCTACAAACACCACAAAGCGGAAAAGGCTGATGGTTTTCTTGGAAAGGAGGAAGGATACAGAGCAGAGCTGCAAAACCAGCCGCAGAGGTGGGAGCGGAAGACAAGAATGTGAAAGACTGCTAGCAACCTGGACTTCATTTTGCCCACGGACACGTCCTGCTGCACGCAGAGCTTCACACGCCAGCACTGCAGCCGGTCCGACAGAAGCAACCCAGGCCTCGGCTCAAGCCACACGGAAAATCAAGCACAGCTAAGAACAATTCTCAACCAAGACTTCTGGCTCAAGTCACCAAGGCAAGTCCCCTCCTAGTGCAGAGATTCCCCACGTGCCACCCACAGATGGAAACCGTGATACGGCGCTGGCAGCAAAGCCCAGGTCTTCGAGCTCCCACGTCCGAGGAAGCCCGGTCCAAATGGAGACTTTTAACCTGAAAACCTGTCATGAACAATTTATTTCAACAGAAGGCTCATCACCTCTCTCTCTTATCTCTAGAACAGGCAATGAATGCCTTTATTTCTTTGTCCAAATGGCAGACCCGCGGTTTAAGGCACACTAGTCCCAGGAAAAAATCTTAAATTGAGTTATGATCTGAAAAGTCTGGTTAGCCCAGACGAAAAAATAAGATTCAGAGCACAAAGCCCAACAGATTTCTCCTAGAAATTTAATTTGTCGGATGGAAATGTGCTGCATTAACATCTAGTATAGGTAGGCCTTGTTTAACTCGTGCCCGCCTATAACAAGATATGTGTATTTGACAGTACAGAAGCCTCATTATTAAATTCAGAAATACATGTAGTTGCCCACCTGGCCTATTCTGGTTTGAAAGAGAAACCAACATAGAAATGATCGATCTTACACAGTATAATAGCGAGACAGTTAACCAGAATACAGCCATTAGCAACATGAGTCAGTACTTTGTGCAAAGCAAAAAAAAAAAAAAAAAACTTGAAAGCACAATTAAATAATCCTTCAAAAAAAAAAAAGGAGAACTGAAATTTTAAAAGGGGGTGGTGTGAACAGCCAACCAAAAGGCAGAACCAAAAAAAAAAAACACAAAAAAAACTCCCGGCCAGGCCCCAGGCGACCAGACCGGGCTGGAGCTAGTTCTGACTTGCCATTCCTGAAATTCCACTCTCCCAAGGTTTTCTGGCTCTTCCTCCCCCAGGCTCGTTCTTTACCCATCTGGTCTCAAAGGAGGCTGGAGAGGGCCCCGGGAGCTGCAGGAGATGGCAGGCCCTCACAATGGGCAAGGCCCCCTCCACTGTGCAGTCAGGGAGCCTGTGGATAACTAAAATAACTGCAATAAACAGATAATCGAAAAACTTAGTGGGAGGGACAGCCGACTCCTCTCTCCTCCCCCGCCCAACCAGCCAGCAAACAGCCCAGGGCCAGACTGGGCCAGAATGAAATCAGATAGAAAGGATGGGCCAAAAGGCAGGGAAGCAGGGGAAGCTGAAAGGATGACGTGACTCTGTTCAAACATCTCAGAAGAGGCCTGGAGCAGGTTACCAGGCTAAAAAAAAAAAAAACCAAAAACAAAAAACAGAACAAACAAAACCGAATGCCACAACAACTGAATTTCCCATCCGACGGCAGAACCACTATAATCCAAGCAGAAGGCCTCCAGGGCCGTTTACAAACAAAGCTACACGTTTGGCCCACCGGTAACTGGGTCTCGACCCTCACCTGTGGCTAAGACTGGGGTCAGTCTCCCACTTTTAGCCTCAGCCCTTCCTACGGTCTCCAATCAACGGCAGACACCCAGGTTTGGCTGAGCATCGGAGCTCTTCCAAGCCATTCTGGTGCTTCCGGGCGGGTGAGTGGCCGCCGTGATAGCAACATTAGCTGGGGATAGAATCTGGGTGGGAAGGTCACAGTTCCATCAATGAGAACTGGAGAAAAAGACCAGGAAGTAGGAAAAAGGAACCAGAAAACCAGGTAACCAACAAAACCAGACGTTTCATCACTCCTTATGGATGGAACCGCTTTGCTACAAATAGTATGTGAGGCTCCCGAGAGCCCCAACAGATTAATTACTACGAGGCATAATTAGTCCCATTTTCCAGATGCAGGAGCTGAAACTCTGAGATTTGTAAGGTAACCTAATGAGGGCCACAATCCAGGCTCCAAGAGACACACTTGCCCGAACACGCAGAGGCTCCCCGAATGATTATCTGCCATTCCCAAAGGCAGGCAGGACTCCCGGGGCCTCTGCTTGTTGTCTAGCATCTTATACTGTTCTGGCTCTGCCTTACACCGAGCTGTACCACAGCCTCGGAGGGGGAAGGCCCTGGGATGCAAGCATGTGTCCTGTCACCACACAACCCCCGTCTATTCAGCTCTTGAGGGCTCCGCACGGTACTTTCCCATCCTTGTCTCCCCAGAGGCCCAGCACTGAATAAGCAAGTGGCTATGCCGTTTTGTGCCTTGAATTCCTTCTCCCTTGTCCAGGCCTTGGCCCAGCACCTGTGGCATCCTCGGGATGGCTGGGCTCTGCGGGTGGCACCACAAGTGGCTAACTTCCATCCCTGGACTTGATAGCAGTTATACAAACAGCCCTAGAAGGAACAACTACTGACCACCAGCTGTGTGCCAGGCCCTCTGCTAGGCCCTTCGCCATCTCCCCAACCCTTCCAGGTGGAGGGTGCAACGCCCCGTCCCTATTTATGACGATGAAGGCTCAGAGACTCCCAGAGGTCCCCCCCACAGAAGCCTGGGCCTACCCAGTGCCACCTTACACCACAGCGCTGTGCACAGACATGGCTAAATGGCTGCAGTCGGATTTGGAGAAACCACGCTAAGATTTCAAAGAGATGATTACAAAGGCCGAACTGGATGATAATGTATAAAGCCACATAAAATGCACATAAAACCTTAAAGGGGGAAAAAAAACCTCGGGGACGGTTAACAATCCTGTAAACCAAAGGCTTTTAAAGGTTTCTCCCAGGCAGCCATTTAGCAAATGACACACTCTGAAGAGGCTCCCCAGCCCCCCTCTCCCACTTCCTTCGAGCTAACCATTCCCCTGAAAAACACCTCCTCCTCTGGTCTAAAGGTGGCCTCGGACCTCCCACGATATTCAGAAAGAGGGAGAAAGAAAACACCTTCCAACGTTACGTCGGCGAATCCACTCTCGGAGGCCCACGATTTCCCAGCAGAGCTGTTTCTCACTTAGAAGGGAGAAGGGGGGGAAAAGTAAAAAAAAAAAAAAAAAGGAAGGAGGGGAAAAAACCCATCTGGCGGGCCCCGAGGAGCGACATCCTGTTTATTATTAAACGTTTTCGGCAATAGAGCATTGGGCATTTTCAAAATAACCCTCCCGCTCCCGCAGCGCCCGCGACCGCC